ATACATCCATCACTCATTGCATTCTTCCAAAACACTATGCAGCACTGGAGAACAACACTACATCTCAGGGTTAGTAACACTTCCATACAAACAAATGAAATATTCACTAGGCGAGGAATTTTTCAAGGAGATTCCTTGAGTCCTCTCTGGTTCTGCCTAGCCCTGAACCCATTATCCAACATGTTAAACAACACGCAATACGGTTATAATATCAGACATGAAAAAACAACACAGTTTACGCTGTCACATCTCATGTACATGGACAACATAAAACTTTATGCATCCATACAGAAACAACTTCATCAACTCCTACAAATCATACATTCATACACCAAAGACATACAAATGGAGTTTGGCTTAGACAAATGCGAAACACTTCACAAAGAAAAAGGAATCCTGAAGAAAGAAGATTTTGCACTTGGAAATGGAGATGTTATTGAATCCATGGAAGAGGGTGAGTTCTACAAGTATTTAGGATTCCAACAGGCCAAACTAACAGAACATACACAAATAAAGCAAAGATTAATTAAAGAATACCAAACTAAGTTAAATGCCATTCTCAAAACACAGCTAAATGCAAAACACACAGTTAAAGCAATAAACACACATACCATCCCAGTACTCACATACTCTTTTAAAGTTATACATTGGACTCACACAGATCTCGAGCAACTCCAAAGGAAAACAAGAACAATACTTAGTAAGCATAAACAACATCATCCTAAATCCGCCACAGAAAGACTAAACCTTCCATGTAAAGATGGCGGAAGTGGCCTGATTGACATAGTTAACCTTCACTGCAAACAAATACAGTCACTGCGAGAGTTTTTCTACAGGAAACAAGAAACATCACAATTACATAAAGCAGTAACTCTAGCAGACTCAAATAGCACACCATTAATTAAACTTACACTCACATCATACAGACTTGACAATAAAAAGCATAGACACTATCAAGCAATCATGGGCTCGAAAGGCACTCCATGGTAGGCATCCTTATGACCTGGCCCTTGATTTTGTTGACAAAACTGTGTCAAACAGCTGGTTAGATCGGGGATGCCTCTTTGAGGAGACAGAAGGATTCATTATTGCCATACAGGATCAGGTTATAAATACTAAAAACTACAGAAAACACATATTCAAAGATACAACACTCACATATGACACATGCAGAAAATGTCACATCATGCCACAAACTATACAACACATCACTTCTGGGTGCAAGCTCTTGGCACAGACAGATTATTTACACAGACACAATCAAGTAACAAATATAATACACCAAGAACTTGCAAATAAACACAAATTATTAGACATCCACGAACCATACTACAGATACATTCCACAGACAGTATTGGAAAACAACACGCACAAAATGTACTACGACAGAGCCATAATCACAGATAAAACAATTTATCACAACAGACCAGACATCACACTCATTGACAAACACAATAAAATCACATACATTACAGACGTTTGTTCCAAACCCTCACAATATACAAAACACATGCACTGAAAAAATTAGCAAGTACACAGAACTCGCCCAAGAAATAAGACATCTGTGGAGGATGGATAAGATGCTTATTGTACCTACCTGTCGTTTTCTCCTATACAGGTGTGATACCACACACTACACAGAAGTCTGGGAACATTACAATTGAATAGAAATATATACATCACACTACAGAAGGCCACTATATTGAACACATGCCATATTGTTAGGAAATTCCTGAATACAGACACTGACACTGACACACTTATTTAATTTTAGTTTTGTTTTTGGTTGCTATGCCTAGACTCTGGTCCAACATAGTACACAGCCACCAGTGTCAACTGAGTATAACCCACTAAACCCAACATAACAATGATTACAACAAAATGTAAATACAGTAAGACCCAGCTTAATGTGGGGGATGAGTTCCTAGATGACAAAGCACTAAATGAAACAGCGTTAAACAAGATTATTTTAACATAGAGTAAATAGGGATAGGGGAACACGCGACCAAAAAATAAACAAATTTTTTAATTTTAAGTTCTTTTTATATTCATTTGCATAATAATATATGTTAAATAACACACAAACATGCATACAGAAATTTAAAGTTCATTTTTTGTGATGAAGGTCCTGGCTCTTCTGAAATTCATGTTTTTTATAATAAAGTCACTTAGTTTCATTTATTGCTTTTTTCTTTCCTTAAGCAAATGTCAGTAGCAGAAGATTGCATCCAAAACGCCTCATTTTGTTTTTGCACTCCTTTCAAAATCTGGATCATTTGCTACAATTTGATCAACGATTTTGGTTATCATTACCAAACTTTTACTAAGGAAATCTGTAGAAAAATTTTTTGGGTTCTTTGTTTTTAGAATCTCTGTTTTCCAGTTCTACATGAATTCGTTGTTCTGCCAGTTTTTGAAGGTTGTCATTGATAAGGTTCTCACCAGAAACTTATCTTCAGTAACTCCTCGATATCCTGCTCCTCTAAATCTTCTAGTCCTGATGTATCGATTAAGCTCTTCTCATTGAGAATTCTTGGATACCTTCAGCCATAACTTCTTCCACACTTCATTTATGCATTTATCAGTTAATTCTTGTCAAGTGAAGTCGATATTGCCTATGGCATCGTGTTATATTTTTTCCAAAATTGCACAAACAAACATAGATTTAAGGAAAGTACAGCGCCATGACAAATTGCCACCTTTTGCTGATTTGTTCATGTTTGGGAATAATCAAAGAAATGCCACGATAATTTGAATCAGCATAAGTTTTGAGCTTTTTTTAGTCTTTGTGCAGACAATGTTATATTGAATCAGCATTAAGTGGGGTTTTACTGTACTAATGTTTTTATGTATGTGTAATTTACAAATATATTTCTTCTTTATTCTTATTAGCACTGTGTCTCTACTAATCCAATAGTTTTTATCTATAGTTTTTATCATAGTTTCTAGATTAGAATCTTTTTTATAAATACAGTAATACCCCGAACTTACGCGATAGGCGGGACGGACCGATAACCGCATAAGTCGGGGTATAATTTTGCAATTTGTGTAAAATCCAAATCGGATGTATGTAAGCTAATAAATGTTCTCATTAATCTTATCTTGTCTTTTGATTCGTTCACGGTTACAAGAAATCACCACATAGAGTCTCTCAATTCTTTGTAGATATAACAAACACAGAAATAAATAACACAAAATAAATTGTAGCTATGTGTCAATTCCGTGCAACACGTCTGAACATGTAAGCTGAACAATAGTGTGGGGGGAGTGAGTAATCAACAGGTGCGTGGCGCTCAAACAAAAGACAAATCGACGAGATTTGAAAATCACGTAACTCCGGGTTTGCGTAAGTCAGGGTAGCGTAAGTCGAGGTATTACTGTATAATTTTTTAATTCTATTAACATTCATAACATTGGCTATTTACTCTTCTTCATATAGAATACTGCATTTCTTAGACATAGGTTCTAAGTTTTCCTATTATTAATAATTTATTCATTTTCTTGTATGATTTTATTTTATTTTTGAAACTTTTATTTAAACAATAGATCCAATAAAAAAAAAACATGTTTAGTATAATTACTAATTAATGCATTAATTAAAGGTTCCATATAATACAATTAATTTAAAATATGATTTAATAATTTAATTTAATAAATATGGTTTTAATAAAAGATGTTTCATCACAATCATTTTATAAAAACAAATATTTTATATCAAATTATGTCAAATTCACATTTTCAAATTTATTATTGTTAATGTTGGGTAAAATAATCAATATTTAAACTTTTCAATCTCCACCTGAAAACTTCAACAATAAAAATTAAATTTTTTCAGAAAATATTACTATAAATAGTTTTATTTAGAAACTGTAAATATCAAAAAGTAACAAGAGAAACAAAACTTTATTTAGTAAATGATTAGTATTAATTGAATTGCTTAATGATTAAAGTTTAAACTAATATCTATTATAAATTATATGAGTACAGTCAAAAATAAGTAAAAAAAAATGCAGTTTTATTATAAGCTTAGTAATGATTTATTATACATTTCTTTCAAAGTAATTTTTATCTGCTGCAACACCCAAAAACATCCCTACCATATCTGGAAACAGTTCTAAAACCCCTTTTTTTGTCACTCCACAGAAAATATCTAAGCTGTATCTCCATTTGAAATGACATCCCTTCATTGACTCCTTAATTTTCAGAAAGACGTAAAAATCCACAGGAGCCAAATCAAGAAAGGTGACTGTAGAAGAACAAGAATCTGCTGTTTAGCAAGATATTGCTATACTGCTGTACAAGAAGTGATGTGAGGGTACCTTATAATGGTGAAACTCTATATTAACTGTGCAACTCTCAGGGGTGTTTTTTTGTATGATCCCCTTATTGTAAAAGAAAACATTGAGCATGAGTTTCCGCTTCAATTTGTCCATATAATATTTCTTTTGATACAGAGGGAAGGTGACTTAAGACAAAGAATATCTCTTTGGTTTAAGCATCATACAGAAAGCATCCTAAGTTATCATATGGTTTCAAAGACCAGCATCTTTATCAACTGTATCAATCTGTTCTTCACAGATGAAGAATTGTTCTGTCCACTGTTTTTCAGCATCCTTGAATAATATGCAGGCAAACATAACTTTCAGATCATCATGAAGAATTTTGTGGACTGAACCATGGAAAATGGCCTTTTTTTGTCAGATTGGAAGGTTTCTGCAATGGTGTGTGTTAATTCTGTCACCAAGTAGGTCACACAGAACACCTACTAACAAGTTTTGAGCATTTTTCTGGATGGCAATAACACAGTATCGTATGTGAGACTAGGAGTAAAAGGATGGAGTAGGAAATTAGATTCAGTTGAGAAGGAGTCACTCAACACAATTTACTACACGTAAACATTTATTAGACAGCATGAAAATTTATATAATACATTACACAACTAAACAAGACACAGCATTCTCGTTTACATGCATTATCACTGCAGAGAAAGAGAGTTCACAAATTTTGGTACTTTACAAGTTTGAATTAGAAATCCCATGTTAAGGAAAAAGGGAGATAAGTTCTTGACGTCAATTAATAGTTTTGGAAAGTGATGGCACACAAGCTGAAGTCTTTCACAAACAAAACTGCAAATGGTAATGGCTCAAAGGCACAGATCTTAAATGGATAAATGTGAGGTCAGCCGATTAGGAATGAGGTGTTTTCGACAGCCGAGCGGTCATTTCTGTCGTGTGGGCACGGAATGACTCACCGAGACAGGTTTACCATATAAAACCGTTTAATAATATACATAAATCGTTCTTACAACAACCTAATGTGGGCAAGAGCTTATCCCACGATGGGTTTCTGTCACAGTTCCTACTAATCGGATAGTTCGAATGTTCGATTGGTTCCTGGGAAGCTTTCGGCACTGTGGACGCAGAGAACGATGGCTCCGGGGCACGCACCAACACTTGTAGTGATGTCCTCGGTTGACAAGTCGAACCTCGATGATTATGGACGTGACCTCGGCGATCCTAGAGTGGACGGGTTGGCGAAACCAGTTCCTAGGTCGTCGGAAGAGCCTTCGTTGCGTCTCGCGTCTCGGTCGGGAGCACCAAATCCCGACAGGTGAGCACCAAATCCCGACAGTTGAGCACTACACACCCAAAACACAAGACTCTGTAAAGTTCCCGAAAACGCGGTTTTATCAATTTTTCCACCGCGGTCGCCTCTCCATTGGTCTCTCCTCGTCACATGGTGACAATTCGAAACTCCAGGAAGGGCGCAGGAGAGGTCAACGTCGCGTCGGAACACGACTCCTCTCCAACCTCGTTTTCCTCGACTTTACTCTATCTATTGTTTAAAATCTTTTAACAAGACAAAAGGTTCATTGTTTAAATCCGATCTTTAAGTTCGCTCTTTCGCACTACGAAAATTGNTTCTTTGAGAATCGAACAAGAAAAAGGAAAACAACTCAAGGATGATCTCATCAGAAACTAGTAAAAACAACATATACCTTGACAGTGTCTAAAAGTCGCAGGAAAGGTGTCACTTCTGATGCTGAGAAAGAATAAGTTGAAACTCTCTCAGGTCAGAAAGTTGACATATACTTATGTCAACTTATTCTTTCTCAGCATCAGAAGTGACACCTTTCCTGCGACTTTTAGACACCGTCAAGGTATATGCTGTTTTTACTAGTTTCTGATGAGATCATCCTTGAGTTGTTTTCCTTTTTCTTGTTCGATTCTCAAAGGATCATCAATTTTTTGTGGCATTCACATTTAATTTCCTCTCAAATCCAATCAATTGTTTATTCATTTTCTACTGTGGTAAGTCTGCAGATTATATAATATTACCTAAGAATTTAATCGCAATTAAATTCTTACAGATTATTATATATAATTAAATCATCATATTGAAAAACTTAATAAATTGTATTTCTATACAGGTATACCTCGACTTACGTCGTTTCGAGTTACGTCGTTCCCGATTATATGTCGTTTGTCAAAAAAGTATATGGAAAAATAAAAATCAAGTTTAAGTCATTTTATTAGACTACGTCTGTCCGCCACAAATATTGAAGTCATAATATCACTAGAAAAGCGTTTAAAGCACATAAAATCATATTAAAATATATACATTTACAAGTATATACTGTATTTACAGTAGATGCATTTGTAAATTTAGATTACTTTTTTCTGTACTATATTAAAAACTAAAATTTATTTGTTTGTAAGCTTAAAATAGATCCTTATTTTAACCATATATTATTAAAAATGCATTAATAAATAAAATACAGAACCGGAAATGGTAATTTATGGTTTAGCCTAGTGACAAGTATATTCAGAGACAAGTAAATTCGACTTACGTCGCTTTCCTGGAACCAATTACCGACGTAAGGCGAGGTATACCTGTATTGCTGGTTAAAAAATCAATAAAATGTGCATGTAATGCAAGGAGAAAAACTATTCAATTTACATAAAATTATGAAGGATTTTTTCCTATAATACTATCCCAATCACAGTATATCAAATCCTACTTACTTCTGCTTTATGAAGTTTTTCTTACTGTTAAAACATGTTTCTTAGTACCCCCTTTTAGTCCACTTTTGGAGAATTCATTTATTTTCAGACAGACAATCTAATTAATGAAGCATGGATAAACAAAGAAGAAATTTAAATTTAAAATATTCAAAAGTATAGCATAGTAAATGTAAAAGGAAAGTGAAATATCAACAGCAGTAAAGAGCAAAATTGCCAGAGCAATAATCTTCCCTGAAGTAATATTTAGATTAATTAAAATGTAGCAATTAGACATGAGTTGGAATGAAAAAAAAGACAATTAATGTTTTTGAACTGTGATCAGGATATGATTGCTTAGGATTCCATGAACTACCAAAAGAACTAACCTGCTGTGTTTCCACCTTGTGCCAATTTGCTCCTCTTAGGCAACCTCCTTTGATCCGAGTTTCTCTTTTGACCACCATATCGACATTGTCCTTAGTTCAGACATCCCAATCAACACAGCACAGGTGTTCTCCCCTTCTCAAGCTGTTCTCTGGTTTCAGCTTCCTAATAGCTGGATTACAGGTACAGTACATGCCACTACTTCTAACCGGATCAATTCAAGCTCCAAATGAGACAGTTGGAACCTTTCAGTGATTGAACAAATCAAGCCCATTTATTCCTGATGCTAATCTGTAGGCAACAATTCTTATATTTTAGATATGTTATGCATTCTGATAATGACTTAGAAAAAAGGATTATAAAGTAACATAAAAACATAGCTTGGACATTTAGGATTAGAAAAATGAATTATATTTAACAAGACTACTGGATATGGACAAAAATAAAAACAAAGAATGATATGATTGGATCAAATCAAGGTCATTTGCAGAATGCTCTTAGAGCTTCAAGAACTTGTACAGAAGAGCCAATGTTGAGTGTTGATATTGGTATAGGGTTTAGAGTAGTTGGAACCAATTTTTTGTGAAACTTAATACTGGGCTATAAAACTAGCCTATATTTAATATTTGATCTCTGTATAAAACTGATATAATTATATGCAATCCTGTATATTATATAATCCTGTACTAGCTCAACTAGGTTTTGGAAATAAAGACTGATATTTTGTTATGAGACTTGAATGTGTGTGTTGTCTTTTCTTGCTCTATTACACTATACTGCAAGGATGCTCAGTCTAAGTAGATTTTAAGAAAATAATACATTTTTCCATCTAAAAGAATTAGTGCTTTGAATTATCTTCAAGCATTAAAAGATGACTGCAGATTCAAGAACCATAAATGACTCTCCTTTATATTAATCTCTTTTGGATCATGGAAAAGGCAGATCCAGTAGATAGAGGTATTCAGTTCAACAATCAAAGCACTATATCCAACAGGGAGCTGTACCCAATACTGCTGAATAGCAATAGTCTATAATTTGTTCTCATCCAATTTGGCTACCAAATTGGATGAGAACAAATAATTATTATCTATTTATTATCTATGGTAACACTGGCCAAGCAATACATAAAATTGTTTTTAAAAGTGTGTAAAGCTACAGCTAAGTTGGAGTTTTTACAGAAGTGCTGTATAAGGTTTTTCCAATGTCCATTTTAACTACAGATTGTCATATTTACTAAAAAGAGATATCAGCAAAACTTAGTAAAATAGCAGATTGTGATTTGACAATATTACTATGAATATCATAATCTGTGTTTATGTAACTTGTATTAGAGGCTATTTGTAAGACAATTATATTCTGGCACCATCTGGAGACTAGTTAAATAACTATTACAGCATTTCATTAAAAAAGCCAATAAAATTCAAAAACTTTATCTCCTCATTTTAGATTCATTGAAAAATGAGAAAGATTCTAGATTAAAATTTTAAAACATAAAAACGTAAAAAAAAAAAGGAAATTAAAATATAAATATTATATTGAACATTTGAACATATGGATTATTTGTAACAAAAAGACATTAATTAATTAAAATATTTTGAACAGGATGAAATTATTTTATATGGACGATGCCCGCGAGATTAGGTAGAAAACGTCAAAAGAATCAATGGTAGTTGCCAATGTCGCCGCATTCAATGCAGATACAGTACTCCAAGCTTTATTTTCACATTGTTCGTAGGGTATTCACGTGATTTCGATTACTTTGACATTCCGTTAACTCTCCAAGAAAATCCGGAATCTGCATGTTCGAATTAACACAAAATAGATACAGCAAACGACCTAAACAATATAAAGCTCTGTTTCTGAAAGGAATACTACTAGTGAATTTCCTCGAAATTATGTAAGATGTACTGTACAATTTTAAGGAAATAAATTTACTTCAAAAAGTATTTGATCAAAGATAGATTCTGGATATAAAGAGTATAAGTTAAAATATTGCATCAGCTACAATTCTGCGTCGTTTCTTATTGAACATTTTGATTCATATAAAAACAGCGTTTACAAATATCATAACTGTGGTAGAACTGTTTTCTTCGAAAAGAAAATCTCTTACAGCGATTTCCAATATTTATGAGGCATCGCACCCAAAACTAAATAATGTAACGTGCATAAAATTAGTACAACTTTCCAGCACAATTTTAATATAGAGTTTAAACGGTGTCGCGCGCGACGGATAAAAATTGACTTTGCTTTATGTTTTATTATATTAAAAGATAGATGATTAAAAAAAAAACATATATTGAGATGAATTATTTTCATATTTTAAAAAATATTATGGGATACCCTTGAAATCTTCGTAATACACTTCTATGGTCGGATGACCGAGCGGTCAAGATGGCAGCTTACCGCTCTGGGGAACCCGGAATCGAATCTGGATGGGTCGAAAAATCACCAGGAATTTTACGGGTTTGGTCCGATCGAATATGACGGCTTCCGTCCCTTACCACCCAGCCNCTTTACGTCATTAATTCTATTCATTCCATAATTTAAAAAATGTTAATATACTCAACATACACATAAACACATTCTTAAACACTTATATACAAATAATACAAAAATAAAATACAATAAAAATTTTATTAATCATAGAAACAATGTAATTATTTTCTTGGTATACGGGTTTGGTCCGATCGAATATGACGGCTTCCGTCCCTTACCACCCAGCCGCCCCATTATGGGCCTGGCCGAACCCATAATGGGCCTGCTAAAAGAGGCTCTCTTGGTCTCTTAGTGCCCACGGGGCGGAGAGTTAAAAAAAGGCCAGATGGCCGAGCGGTAAGTGTTACCTACCGCTCTGGGGACCTGGAAGGAATCCAGCCGGGTTGTAAAACACCAGAAAATTTTCGAGGCTTGTCCATCCGGAATATATCATGCCTCATCTTTCGTCACCCGGCTACCTCAGGGTGGGCCTGATCGAACCTATGTCGGGCTTGACTCACGGGACAGAAAGAGTAAAAGTAAAAATGCCTATCATAGGTACGGGACGGCCTGCTCCGGGCGGCAAAATTACCTTTTAGGGGGCGGCAAAATTTCACAATAAATAATAATAATATCTTATAAAAATTTGAACCATTCTAATCTATATTTGCGTCGCGCCTACGATAGTACTATCGTCCGGACAGTCCGGGAATCGGCTCGCCGTCCGGGTGAACTAGTAATTTCATCCGAGGATATCCTGCGCAACCTGTTGACCTTTTTTTTTTTTTTGTTTTTGCTTGTACGATTCATTCGCATTCATATACACCACCAATATCCAATAGAGCTATTTTAAACAGGTCGCTGCACTAGCATAGAATTTTTCATTGCTTGGTGTGACAAAACTGAATTTTAGTCTTTTAAATTGAAATACCTAAATAAAGGGGGCGAAATTTTTCTCCGCCCGGGCGGCTGACACCCATGCTGCGCCACCGGTTTTACGATACTAAGAGCTACCACAAACTACAGTTTTGCGAGAGCAAAACTCTAGCAAACGTGCGCTAGCACACCCGATGACGTCAAGGACCCCGTCCCTTTCTTTGCGCCCGCCCTGGACCTCGCATTTTCTCTGAAAGGCCCTGGCTCTGAGTATATTATGAAATAAAACCCGATGGATTTTGAACTCAATTTCTAAGTTTTGTTTTCATGCATTATAAAAAAAAAAAACTATCGAAAAACTATGGTTCTCATTTTAATTAGCACCGGAAATTTTCTGCTGGAAAGTCAAAAATGTTCTAGTTTATCTACACTAGATTTTATTGATGGGATAAGACAACACAATACTTGGCGATCTGTCAAAGGTAGGATGTCTCCGGGGAGTAGTTTCTATGGGAAACTAGCCCACTATTTAGATGTTAGACACGTGAAGAAACTCCGGTAAACGCTACCTGTTCAGCCCATTGGTGAGATATGATTCAGTGATCATTAGTTTTCGGAGGTTTTATTGACTCGTCTACTAGTGGGTAATTCCATCAATAGTTACAACTAATAAACTACAGTCGACCCCCCTATAACGCGGTAGATACGTTCCGCTTTATAAGAATTTCGCGTTGTAGGAATCCTTAAATACATGAGCCAATCACAGCCCAGCACGTATGCAGTTTACGGACTACGGCAGTTTGAAAGGTTTTCTTCCATAAAATTAATCGATTCTAGACTAATTTCACTCAACATTTCCAAAATACGTATAATTTTTTTGAGAATAATCTGTATAAACTAAACTATAAAAAAAAATTGTAGGATTACTTACCGAGTGTGCACCGTTCGACCACGCCATTGCTTAAGCTTGTTTTCGTCGCGGAGCAGCGCACCAAACGGCGGCCGCGTTTTCTGATAAGTTATTTTTCTGCGAAAAATTCGTTGTACTTTGGAGACATCATTAATAGAAATAATTTTTATGGCCGTTGAATAAAAAATGTTTTTTTCACAAGAAATGTATAAAATTACAGTATTGTATTAGACTTACAGTACCTAATTTATATACTGTACAGACAATAGTAAACGCAACTTACACGCCTAAACTCTCCGTAGAGTATAAGTAATTTGGCTGCTCATCAACTATTGGTCCAGATTCGACCAATCCTGTCGCGACACGAGTCGGCGATGACGTTTTAACGTCATCGCCGACTGCATTTTACGAGTCTCTTTTAGCATCTTTATATGAATACGGTCGCAATTTTTTCGCCGCGATATACGAATCCGCATTATATAAACCCGCGTTATAGGGGGTCTACTGTATTTCATTTGAATATTTTGCAAATGAAGTTACACACCGTAATAAATTCGAAACTATTTCGGGTTTTCTTTACGTCATTAATTCTATTCATTCCATAATTTAAAAAATGTTAATATACTCAACATACACATAAACACATTCTTAAACACTTATATACAAATAATACAAAAATAAAATACAATAAAAATTTTATTAATCATAGAAACAATGTAATTATTTTCTTGGTAATATGAGAAATGTATAAGATTTTCACATAAAATAAAAACATTTGTTAATAAAGTTAGATAACGTCGCAATAATCGGATAACATTTTATAGTAAGGCTGAGTACACACTAGGTGTTTTAAAACGCGCGTTTGACGAACCAAGAGTTCTGCCTAGGCGTACACACTCAAACGCGCGCTTTTGGCCAAGCGCGCGTTAAACGCGCGTTTATAGATTTTTGTTAAAACGCGCGTTTTGCGGGCACTTTACAGGCGCTTTGAGATATATGTTCTGCTATGTTACTGTACATTCGATCGCGCGTTTTCGGGTAGAGTGGACGTACGTTGGCCGAAATGGAGAACGATCATTTCGATACTGATCTATTTATTGATGAAATCTAAAAGAGATTGTCAAAGGATTTTATAGATATTTTAAAAGAATTAAAAAACTTGGGTTTATTTTGTCTTAGTTTTGGATACAACGTCGCAAACATTCCATGTGTCAGTCTATCTCGTAATATTGGGTGCACCCAAAATTCTCTGCCTCTGCCATCGTCTTTTATAGCGACGATGGAGGAGGGGCACACGAGCAATTACTTTCACGTCCATTTCCAAACTGAGCCAGTGCGTATGCTCCACTAAACGCTCGTCGAATGCCGAGCTAACGCGCGGTGTGTATGCTGCTAACGCGCGTTTAACGCAACGCAAAACGCCTAGTGTGTACACAGCCTAATAGTCGAATCAATCTTTGAAGAATCATATATTATTTTCAGTATTAATATAGAATACAAATTTCAAATTGTCTTCGAATCATTTAAGGTCATTGTTGTTTTTTCTATCATTCCTCTGACTTTTTGTGCCATTGGCTTTGTTAAAATTTGAGTAATTTCATAAACTTGTACAGACAGCACACGTTTTTTTACGCGTAGATATTTTAGATTACCATAAACATCATTCAGATAAAGCATATATTTTGCTAGAATATTTTTTATAAATCATATACACGATATTATTTTTTTTAAAGTGATAATAAAAAATGATAAAAAATCAATGTTTCCAAAAAAATAATTAATTTAGAAAGAAAATTTAAATATCTACTAAGCGGGAATCCATGAACGGCTCTCCCGAAAATGGCGTCGTCTTCTTTAAGAAAATTAAATTTTTCAATTCATCAATGGTCAAGTTACTCAGCGAATTATTTGCCCGAGTAAGTAGATGCTTTTATAAAATTAGAAAAGGAAAGAATATAAATTTTAAAACCAACAAATCGCTATTTTTAATTTCTCGACAAAATTGAAAATAAACTATGACTAATTAGGCCTAAATTCGTTTTTTTAAAATCTCCCCAATGTTTATTTTTTAAAATATTAATTAATGTGCCTTATTTTGACTCTTAAAAAATTCTATTCCTTTGTTTTATTTCTAAATAAAATTTTAAATGTTATTTATTACATTGTATTTTTATTTGTTGTGATCTGTTGGTTCAAAAATAATCATTCTGTTAATACTCTTTGAAGTTGTATAACAGCAAAATAAAAGAATTACAATTACCATGTAAATGAGTAAAGGTTACTTTTAGGTAACTTTTGCTTATATATGAACAAATTACCTAATAGTAACTTCTACAGACTACATTTGATTGAGTTAAGATTTGAAATTCTGCTGGTGTAGTAGATGATGGTGATTAAACTAGTGGTGTGCAGTCTGTGGAAGTGCCCCTTTCTTTGTATTTTCTAAAATATTAATACATATTGTGTGATTATTTTCATAAACAAGTTCTTAGATACATTGACATGAAGCAAAGATATATCTTAGAATTAAAATACATAAACTGTTTATTTTGTCATTTCCAGTATTTGTTTATAATTTTTATGGAAACATGGCTTCCTTAGCATCAAATGTCACCACATGCTGCTGTTAAACTTCAAAGGAGTCAGTTTCTTCACTCAAGAGGAATCTTTAGCTAATATAAGATTGCACTTACTTTATTTTGTTTCCTGATCATTCCTGATAATGATTCATTTTTTGGCATGAAAGCAGAATTGTGAAGAAATGGACTCTTGGATAAAAAAAATGTTTTAGAGTTTAAACAATGTCTTCTATGATACCTGCAGAAAAATATGATTTGAAATTCCATAAATGTTCTAGATTTTGAATTAAGCAAAAGAGTAAACAATGTATAATCAGTTTAAATGTACAGTTTGCTTTTATAAACTTTGAAGCATTACATTCAAATGTTTTATACTATATTTTTGATGATTTTTTTTTATAATGGTTGAGTTTTTTTACTTATTAGAAGAAATAGCTACTTTTACATAACTACATTTGTTTGAATTTGTAAAAGTAATGTACTTCCATTATCATCAAAAAGGATCATCATATAAGATAAAGATTTGATATTCAAATATTGTTATTTTTTTTTAAATCAGTGAACCACAGAACCATTTTATTATAATAAATTTACAAGTAATGCTTAATTCAAGAGCTTTTGAACTATATTTGAATATTAGCAGTTGTATTAAAAAAATTTAGCATTCTAAGAATATTTACTGTTCAAAAAAGAGTTGTTCATGAAGTGATACTGACAATCATTGAATGTGAAGTTGAAAATGTATTATAAATAAAATTAATCAGATTTTGAATTAAAAGTGTTAGTTGTGTGTTTTTATTATTATTATTATTATTATTTTGACAATTTCTTCATCAAGAAAATTTCAAATAATAGATGAGAAATAAAGATGGTATTTTAGAGAGTAGAATGAGATTTTTTTTTTTTAACTAAAATCTAACAATTCTTAGAATTTAACATTATTTTTTACTTAAAAAAGGTAAATTGTGTAGTTTAAAAAGTTGACTTAGAATTAGTCTTACAATTTTTTTTTTTTAACTATAGAAGACAAAATATAGTTTTTAGAAAAACAAACAATTTTATGCTTAAGATAACTACTGTAGTAGTAATATAATTTTGACTGCTTTTATAAACATTTCTAATAATTTTTCTGCTATTTATTGTTGCTGTAAAAATCCCATAAAGGTATAAAAATGAATACTCTATAAAATATGCACTTATCTTTAAACTTTTCAGAATGTTTTATATATCTACTCTAAATCAGCTTATAAATTTTCTCACCATTTATTTTTAATAATACAGATATAAGTTTTATTGTAAAATTTTCTTTAAATATTTTGTGGGTTCTGATTGATTGATTGAATTAATTAAATTTAAGTTCTAAAAATGTATAATATTTTAAAATTAGGACATAAAAATATCAGTTGTGAAGTACATAGATATGAGAATATGTTAATATTGATATCTATCATAATACCATATAACTATTTTTATGTTTTAGAGACTTGGGATTTCATATTTTAAGTTTCAGGAATTCTCAGTGCTACATAATTTTAATGATGAAAATTATTTTTAGATACAGTATTTATATTTTGATATGTTTTATTGCCATTTTAATATATGTATTCAATTAATTAATTATAGGTTTTAAATTAAAGTTAAAAGCTTTGTTATAACAAATTTATTTTGAATTAATTCATACAAAATACAAATATAAGCATAAATGAAAGCATAAATTTAATTAATTTAAGCATAAGTCAAAATAAACAAAGACTAGCAAAAAAATTAACACGAGGCAGATGCAATAAATAAGGTTACTAATGCTGTTTATGAAAAATAACTGTTATCAAGGTTGAGACTAATATCAATGAAAGAGTATATAGTAATGAAGCCCTGCACCAATAGTTATTCCTGCAGGGGTCATTTTCTTTCACTACATCTAGATCAGGTGAGATCCATTGCAGCATTACAGGTTATATGCACAATTTTGGGAGTTGTACATGTTGCTATAAAAAGCTTGGGTTTATGTGGTTTGGGTTTAAAAAGTTTATGTGGCTCATCTGTGTTTGACTTTTCTTGAACTCTTGAACCGACTTATAAGCTTTTTGCAGTGATATGTATTACTCTCCAGATTGTACCATACATAATCTTGCAATGGATCTCAATAACTCAAATATATAGTGAAATTCCATTAGCATGGCATTCGATACGTCAGCATGCCCAGCTTGTGTTTGGGGGAGTGCACTGGTTATTCATCTGTATTTATATGTAACTAGGTAGCCAGTTAATTAAAACTAAAAATAATAATTTAATTTAAATTTAAAAAAAATTTAAACTTTGGTTTTTATACTGAAATAGAAACAAAACTGAAACTAAAATTAAAAATAAAATTGAAATTAATTAATTAATTAAAATTAAATCAATTGAAACATATTTCAAAAAGTGTAGATAAAGTACTTGTTGTTTGTCTTAATTGATTTGATTATATTTCATTCAGGCAGTCAGAGTTGAGTCTCTGTTTATAGCACTTCTTTGTAAAGTGTTAGTTTCAATTTTGGTTTTGGCAATGACAGAACATTTTGCTTTTAATATGTAAAATATATAGAGTATAGATATATAGATATAAAATATAGAGTAGATATAGATAAAAGTGTACAAAGCACAAAGTAAGATTCTAGTTAGTATGTTCTTGTTTCAAACTAACCAAGTGTAGAAAGGAATAATCTGGAAAAATTGAAACAGTGTGTTAATTAAACAATCATAAAAGGCTGATTTGTACAGTTTTACATGCAAAGATATGTAAAATTTTGTCCAGTGAATTGAAAAAACTGGAAAAAATTTCATCATCCAGTAAGTCAGCATATTTGATAAACTGGCACCACATTGGTCCTGACAATGCCAGGTTAACAGATTGTCACTGTAATGCCTTTGGTTGTCAAAATCAAATAACAGCTCATTGTTTAATTCTGGTGTGGTTTGACATGGGTGACAATTTTTTAAATGGTATAGTGAATGCAAATGCCATCTAGTATGGATGATTATTGGTGCAGGGCTGTATTTATACTTTTTCAATATTATTAATCTCAGTCTTGTATAATACATTATTTTTCTTTAGCAGTGCTACTGACCTTATTTATTAAATCTGTGTCATTATAATCATTATTAATTATCTATAACAAAAAACATATCAAAATGAACTTATATGAAATGTAAACAAAATGTTTGTTTAATTAATGAGCTGCCTAAAGAGGAAGATAATTGTGTGTTGAGTGAACTGACTTGGAGGGAGTGAGTATAATATATATATATATATCTGTTGTCTATGACTTCTTTGTTCTACTTCATTTATAGTTATTTTAATCATATAAAGTAGTGATGTAACGAATATTCGGTTACTATTTGGTATTTGGCCGAATACTGAATATTTAATCACTATTTGGCCGAATACCGAATACCTAAAAACAGAAGTAAGAAATAACAAAAACTCAGTAAATTAATCATTTTGGTATTTAGATTTAATGTTATCGGGTTAGNTGTTGAGTGAACTGACTTGGAGGGAGTGAGTATAATATATATATATATATCTGTTGTCTATGACTTCTTTGTTCTACTTCATTTATAGTTATTTTAATCATATAAAGTAGTGATGTAACGAATATTCGGTTACTATTTGGTATTTGGCCGAATACTGAATATTTAATCACTATTTGGCCGAATACCGAATACCTAAAAACAGAAGTAAGAAATAACAAAAACTCAGTAAATTAATCATTTTGGTATTTAGATTTAATGTTATCGGGTTAGTGTTGTTTGTTTATATTTATTTATAACTTATAATGCACAAAATAAAAAAGAAAATAATATTAGTCACATGTATTCACAATTTATAATTACAAAGATCAGCACACGTACAGTACACACCTATTTGTTCGAGAATCGTTGCACACATCTGAGGGTCTGATCCTGCCTATCCTTTTTTTTAAGCGCTCGTCTTTGTTCTTCGCTTTCTCTTTCCTCTATCGCTCTAATCCACGTATGCCTGTGCATACATCATAGTACACACTCACGATACTTTCAATTTGTCACTTTTCCGTCATGGATTCCCCATTTTATAATTACGTGACTCAAAGCCTGGTGATAACGGAGAAAAGAGACAGACAGGACGTCGGTATAAGTCACAGTTATGATTTCACAGATTCGAGACAACTTGGTAGCCTGAACGGCCCCAGGCTTTCGCCCGTGCACGCTAAGTGACTTTCATTGCAAGCATTTAGCTTTCCGTTCCAAAGCCTATCACAACAATTGTTTGGCATTGACAACCACGAATTTCGCGCGAATAAGCTGCCTCGAATTGTTCGATTATGTTATCAACTCAATTTCATATTTATTTTCACATTTTCACTTTGTAATCCTTCTCTGTTCTTTTTCCGTTATTTACACGTGTAGGTCATTTCATTGTTATCCACATTTGATATCATTTATCACATACAGTACTACCATGACGCTCTTGTCTGTCCGCTACAACTGTCAAGAATTAACGTGATTGACGAAGCACAGTGACAATCAATCAATATCATTTATTAGATACTATAAATAGTACATTCCCAGTACCACATAGCATTGCCGGGATTCGATACAGAGAAATACAATAACATTAAATTGGTAATATGTGTACATAAATGGTTATAATAATTGATCAAATATTAAAATATTAAAGTAATACAGTGCATAGTTACAATAGGAAGAGTAAATCGGTGAGTATATACAGATACAATATTTATAATACAATTCGATATTTATAATACAATATATGAAACAGATTGATGTAACATTTACATTAAAGAAAATACAGGATATATACAATATATTGCACGTGTTACACGTTAAAAGAAGCATAGTGACAGCGGGCCAATAGAGAGCAGGGTCCTTGCCATAATGTGCTTTGCGCGCCAATTTTCGTACGTGCGTTAATCAAGCCGAAAAGTTTGGCCGAATATTCGGTATTCGGCCTGAGGCCGAATATACTATTCATTGCAACACTAATATAAAGATATTATTGTACAGGCATTTCCCATTTAACATCAGTAATCCATTTTTAAAAATCAGATGTTCTGCATGAAATTTTAACTATTTTCTATTATTTTAAATACTATAACATAATAATCAAATCAAAAATTTACGAGTAATACAAGCTAATAAATAAATATATATATATAAGTCACAATCAAACACTATCATTTTAAAATTGAAAATTCTTAAAACATTGTTTTCTTATCATTAAATATTAATGTGATTGTTAATAAACATCTGCTTTATATGCAGGTGCACCATTTAAACAATCCTATATGCATTAATGTATCAGTTTGTATTTCTTACCATAAATATTACAGTTAAGATGTAGCATAGTAATAAGGAGATCTGTTAGAAAAAAGTGCACACAAAAATTTATAATAGAAAACATGGAATATAAATTGCTATACATTTAAAAAAAATTTCTGATAATTTTGTAAATTATGTAATTGATTGACTATATACAAAAGTATGTTTAGATTTTCTGTTCTATGAGGTATTGGTAAGATGTGATATCTCTACCAGTTCTAGCAACATCCAAGATGCAAATCTTGTTTGTTGACATTTGGTACATTTTCAAAATGTCTACATGACTGATGTTCTGCCAATGGTATTTTGGAATGTAACTTGAGACTTTCACACATGGTTTCGTTACTGTTGTATGGCATAAAAATAAATTTTTCTTCTGAAAGCATTGAAAAACATTGTATTTAGAGATGTTTGTGTTATATTTAACAGAAAAACAAATCAACATGTAAAGTAACAAAAATACATTAATTGAAGTTATTAAATAGTTTCAGTGATTTGTAATAAATTTTAATCAACTTCTATGATACAATACTCAATATACTGAAACTAAAAATTATGATAAATGGTATAGTGAATGCAAATGCCATCTAGTATNATTTTTCTGTTTCACATTTATAAATTTAATTTTATAGTTTTGAGTTTTGTGCTGATTTTTCTGAAACTCAGACTTGAAGTTTTTCAGGAATTCAAGAGACAGAAATCTTATTACTAAAGAATATAATTTATTGTAACAGGAATTAAGATACAGGAGTTCAAATACCGAAATATTTGAACTCCTGTATCTTAATTCAAATACCGGGATATATTTTGACTATTTATAAATAACAGACAAAAGCAATGCCAAACATTGAAACATTATAAATTGAGAATTATATGAATGTATTTCTTTTAGTTAATAGAATTTTGAAAAATTGAATTTATAAAAACATTAACTTATATGAAATTTTTAATTATCCATTGTAATTAGAATTTTATTTTTTTTTCAGGAATATTATATGGGATAAACCTAATGATCAGTCATCAAGATGGTCATCAGATTCCAATAACCCACCACAGGTAGATTCTGATGAAATTCATAACCTAAATAATAAGATAATGAAAATTGTGTTAATACAAACAAATATTAAAAATATCTTTATGTACATATTATTTTTTCATTTTATACAGAATGAGGAAATAATATATAATCAAAGTATAGTAATATTAAATTATATATATATTTTATAATATAATAGAGAATTAAACTTAAGAAGTATTTAGAACATGCTTAACCAACTGTTGTAGTAAGTGCATTGAAGGTTGTTCAAATGTTTTAGGATTACTTTCTGTGTAAAAATAATCTTAGTATCTGAATAATACATTAATAATTTGATATCATTCCAATTCAAAATATAAAATGCTCAACAATGTTAATACACATATCTGGTTAACTCAGTATTTACTGTATATGAAACTGTTGGAATATTGATATTTATTGAAATGTATGCCAAGCTTATATGTTGCACCTTTTATATATTCTAATAATTGTAATTACTTTACCATACATAACAATGAAATATAATATGGATCTGATTTCTCTAAATCTACAATGATATAAAGTCCTATATATAATTTCAACTAAAATGGCTGATGGTATTTTTGCACAAGTAAAAATATAAAAGAAACTAAGTTGTTTTCATGCTTTGGTCATGTCCAAACCAGAAACAAAAGTCTTCCTTTGCATAGATACCCTTTTATTAGAGGCTAATGGTTCTTTCTGAGAAGGAAAACTGTTTTGTTCCTAGTGATTGGACATGACAGAAGTGCGAAGACAACTTTGTTTCTTCTATATTTTTAATTGTATAAAAATCTAGTGTCTTCATAGGATTGTTAGCATTTATCAAAATTTGTCTTAGAACCTGCATTAGCAAATTATGATTTGATAAAAACTAATTCATTTTTTTTTAAATGACAGAATGTACTATACTTACTACTAATGATTCACTCACAGTATATAGTCAGATGCAAGGCTGTGTGCAAAGTAGCTTCAAATGAATTTAGTATATTGAAAGATAGTTGCCCAAAATCAGTGTATAAATTTTAAACTAGATTCTGATCTAATGTGGATATGATAAAAATAAGCTGTTAAAACAGATTTGTATCTCAATAGACTGTTTTTTTATGAAAATTTTATAGTTGGAAAGATATTCATTCTGTTCAATAAGGAACAGAATTATCATCAGATCCATTCTAGATTAATGGATCTGTTGATAATTTAACCAGAATGCAAAAACTGGTGATTTTGTAGGAACTATTTTTGTAAGTAGACTTCCTGTTCAATATAAAACAATTGTTGTTAATAAACTTCAAAATATTTCAAGTCAAAAGAATTTGATAGATCTGAAAATGCTTGCTAAATAATAAATGTTGTAACTATTATCATTGCATCAAAATTATAATGGAATGGAAATAGTTTTATGAAAGTAAATGAATATCTGATAAACTTTCTTTAATACATTGCTTGGCTTTAGAGATGATTAAATAACCAGTGATAGTCTAGTTTAAAAAAGAGAGAAATGTTTTTTGCAAATAGTAGAATAGATAGTATCTCTCATGATTAATCTGATCTAAGAAGTTAATCTGACTCAAGAATTTTCAGCTTGAAGAATACATTTAGGAAGAATCAATGTTGCCTCATAGTAGTAAAGAGAATAATACTAGCTATAAATTTCTTAATTTTAGAGATAGCCAAGAATTTTCAAATAAGGACAATATTGTTTACAATGCTTTAATAATAGATTGAAAAGTTTAAATTAATACAAATCATGAATTGTTTTATACTGTCCAATAGAAGCAGTTCAAGATCATTTTATAAAATAAATTCTTTAAGAACTCTTAGATGTTAAAGATATAGAACAAGGATGACTGTGTAATATGTCTACATGCTTCATAGAAGGTAAACAAAATGTTGATAAGAAATCTATAGTTCATGTATATTCAGTTAATGTTTATTTTATGTTATTGATGAGAAAATAAAAAAATTCAGTCAATTGCTCATTAAGCAGTTTAATAGGAAGATAAAATAATATATTACTGCATCAGTGTTATTAATTCTTGCTGTTTTAACATGTTAATTATTGAAGGCTGTTAGACATTAATTGTACAGTAGGACACCGCATGATGTGGGGGATGCGTTCCTAGGTGACAAAGCGCTAAACGAAACAGCGTTAAATGAGGTAATTTTAACATATAGTAAATAGGGATAGGGGAACACGCGACCCGAAAATAAACAAATTTTACTTTAATTTTAACTTATTTTTATATTAATTTGTATAATAATATATGTTAAATAACACATATGCACATAGAAACTTATAATAATACATTACAGGTATACCTCGATTTACGTCGTTTTGAGTTACATCATTCCCGATTATACGTTGTTTGTCAAAAAAGTATATGGAAAAATAAAAATCAAGTTTAAGTCATTTTATTCGACTTTACGTCTATCCGCCACAAATATTGAAGTTGTAATATCACTAGAAAAGCATTTAAAGCACATAAAATCATATTAAAATATATACATTTACAAGTATGTACTGTATTTACAGTATCTGCATTTGTAAATTTAGATTACTTTTTTCTGTACTATATTAAAAACTAAAATTTATTTGTTTGTAAGCTTAAAATAGATCCTTATTAACCATATATTATTAAAAATGCATTAATAAATAAAATACAGAACCGGAAATGGCAATTTATGGTTTAGCCTAGTGACAAGTAGATTTGGAGACAAGTAAATTCGACTTACGTCG